TAAGGTTACCCTTTCTTTATTTTCTTTTATAGGAAGATAACGTAAAGAGGATTCAAGGTGAATTGCATATTTAAGGTAAAATAGCCAAACTTGATGATTCTCTGAGCCTGCTATGCTTTTAGTTTGGGTAGCATGGTCTAATATTTGGAATTCACTTCTAATTCTGACTTTAGAAAACAATCCTGAAATAGTCAGTGGCAAATACACCCGAAGGTTCTATATAATCATCTCATAAGTCATGAGAAAATATCTGTGCGACAACCGTATAATAACTGTTACAAATATAAAAAGTGTTGTTACACTCTATAATAGTACGACAGCAGCTGGCTACGCAGTACATTTAGGTTTCAGATGTTTTCTCACTGTGAATATTGACAGCAATGTGTTTTACTATGGAGGTAACATGAAATCTAAACTTGGGTTTCATTTTAAACCCTCAAACAGTGAGAAAACGACCCAGCCTACAACGTTGTTTGTATCAACACTATTCATTCTGTGATATTTATCTTTCCAATGCTGTGTGAAGAATCTTCTTGATGAAACCTGAGGGTGTGGGAGTCTAGAATTCTGTAGGATTCTACATTTGCTAGACTGATAAATGTCTCTGTATGATTTACCTTTACAGATGGCCACTAAGGTGACAAACATACACCTCGTTATATTTATGGTTTTTGTTAAAGGAACACGTTAGCTTGTTAGTGTTAGTCAATCGAATTTGTTTGGGGGGGGGAGGGCAATGATCCAAACAATTACTTACCTTTATTCTATCAATGCGGCGGCCTCCCCTGCTGAGATCATCAGATTTTGGAGGCTAGTAGGCATGATTCAATGCATCTCTATGGGGAGCCTTCAGGGAAATTCCCCCCAGCACAATATTAAGCTGTAGTAGTTCTGGTGACTGTAGTGTCCCTTTAAGCTGTAGTAGTTCTGGTGACTGTACTATCCCTTTAAGCTTTCAGCCAGGCTTGTAAAGTAAAATAAAATAAGCATTACAAGGAGCTCAGCTTTACATGAATGCCCTGTGTAGCCACTTTTAATCAAAGACCTCAGACTCCCATCAGGACCATCACAACTGGCACAATCTTTATGCTTCTCATATAAATAGAGTAATTAAGGTCCTGGAGACTTGTGTCTGGAATATGACGGCCTAGCCTACCAATAGGTTGCAAACTGTACACCATCATTGTCCACAGTCGTTATTCGTGGTAAAAAGTGTATTACCTTTTTCTCTGAGAAAATCTTCACAATTCCACCCAGTGTTCCTTGACAGGTCAGAGCTTTACAGTTAGACTGTTGATAAAACATAATTATACATTAAAACATCCCCTTCTATTTGTCTGACAAGAACAAAAACAGTACAATGACAGCTCCCAGAAAAGCGAGCACAGGGACATTGACAGCCTCGAACATCTATGGGTAGAGAAGTGACAGAGGACATTCAAAGTCTTCCCGAGGAGTCTGAGACACTCCATCAGCTATGATACAAGCTGACATCTTGATGGAAGCACCATCTGTCAGGACATGTCGTGTGGGAGGACTCTGGCTGATGTTTGATATTGGAAGAAACAGAACCATCTGTAGATCTGACAGAACCTTGGCTGTTTTCTAACGTCTTAGAGACGATAGCTGCACACACTACAGTGCTTTCTCCTGTAGTGTTGTGCTGGCACAACACTTTGTTACAGATCTTACTCCATTCTCCCCACAACGGTTAGCTCTAATCTCAAAATATTTCTTGTGTTAAAGCTCCACTCTCTACACTCTGGAGACAGATCTAAACTGTAAGGTAATCTGTAACGATAATCGTGACCCAAGAGTAAAATTAAAGGCCAATGTTAATGGACCTAAAGCATAGCAGACTTTCCAGATTGAATTTCAAATTCAAAGTAAAAATAGCCGCTTTGATTCTCACTTTAGTGCAAAGTCAGTAAACTGTGAACTGCTGAGAACTGACATGGAATGATCAATTTTACCCAAAATAGCAAAGTTGGAAACACAATGTCTTCCTTTGCATAACATTTGAAGTTCCCTTGTCAATGCTACTAAAATGGCAGTGTAGCAATAAATCACTAAACCACAAAGTGGTGACAAGTGACCAAAGCATCCAGGTTGTAATTATTATTGGACTCTTCTCATTTTTGGCATAATATTTGCACGACCTTGTCAACTGTCCAGGAAATACAATACCAAGAGCATATGGTATAATTCACTAAAAGCAGGAATTTATGGGAAATGGCCAAGGAGGATTGCATGGATGTTTGCCACACTCTCAACACCTAACACTCCAAGCATCATAGTAAATAGTGACATAGATTATGGTGCAAAGTGGTCCCTTCACGGTCACCCTGAACTCAGTTGCCTAACGAATCAATTTGAAAAAATACCAATTATAAACTCCTGCCCTGCAGAGATTTATCCTAATGAAAATCTTCCCCTGTATACAAGATCTGGCACCTGCCAACAAACACCATACCACCATAAAGTTCCACTTCATCTGGCAGTCATTTTCAAAGGCTTCTGGGGAGACTGTGTCTTTAAAGGGATATTAAATTTACCCAGACCACTTTATCTAAATGTTTACTGCCCCTTTCATTTTAACCCTGCAATCTAACACATTGACATTTAGTAGATACGGCAGTGCTAAACGTATCACTCGACAACTACTAAAGGCCCTTCTGATGCAATAACCAAATCAGACCAACTGTTTGTGTTCCTAACTTGTAGTGTTCCTTTAATTTGGGCTATTGGTAAGGAAAATGCTCTACAGCTACTTACTCTACCTTATTGTATAAGCCAATATCTCAGGTAAATTGTAAATGTTCAAACTATATCAAACTAAAGTAAACTATGTTTCCATTCCAGCTACTTTGACCTTAACTTTGAAATTCACTTTACTGGGTAACTCTAATAGACAATAACTGCTGTTTTATCTAAGGTTTTTGACTAAGTACTGACATATAGCAATTATATCTGAATTGCAAAATCTAGACTACAATTCTTTCATTTGGATTTAAAAGTACAGTATAGACACGCAGACCATTTAAACTGATTGAAGTGGTCTGGGTGCAGTGTCCCTGTCCAACCTTAGTCCTGCAATGTAAATATTTGCAGTTTTAAAGACACTACAATGATTGCCTTGCAGGGTTAAGACTGCCTCTAGTGGGTGTCAATCAGACAGCCACTAGAGGGACTTCCTGCTTGCTAGGTGACTTTGGAAATGCTTTTCTATGAGGTGGGCCTAAAGCACTGGGTCAGCACTCACCGCGCATGCGCTTTAGCACCCTTTAAGCGGGTTACATCAAAGAAGGCAGAACGACAACCTAGCGCCGAGGGAGATCGGCACTGGAACCAGGTGAGCACAATAAAGATTTTTAACCCTTACAATGGTGTGGAGGACAGCTTTGTATTCCTTACAGTTTAATTCAGTGTGAATAGCCCAAATTGTGGTCTGCTTATTGAATAATGAGGGTTTTGTTCTGGAAGGGCTAATGACTCTGCCGGAGTTGGAATTATACATCTGGCAACAGAAAAGTTAAAGGGTTACTCCAAACCACCATGGTTACTAAATCAAAACAAGTTTTTCAGTGTAATTTGGCAGGTAATATAACCGGAGTGACAGCGTCTTACTTAGGAGATACATGACTTTGTATTGTTGTAATTATTCTGACTGAATTAGATGGTAATAGAGCATGATTTCCTAGTGTATAAGATAACCTTTATAGTGAATACAGCTTTGCAAAGAATTGTATTTTCTTTTTTTATTTAATCTTCTGTTATTTTCCCATTTTATTGTGTAGTGTGTAGTGTAGTGTTTTGGTTCTCTTTAAGATTAGAAGAAGAATTGACAAATCAATTTTATTTTTAATCGCATATATTTTTAACCCTGTGCCCTGCCCCCCATCCTACACAAAACAGTCAGTCATACCTCATCCTAGTCGCAGCTTTCCCTAACATCCCAACCCTACAGAGAACCCCCCAAATCCCAACCCCACAGAGAACCCCCAAATCCCAACCCCACAGAGAACCCCCCAAATCCCAACCCTACAGAGACCCCCCAAATCCCAACCCTACAGAGAACCCCCCAAATCCCAACCCCACAGAGAACCCCCCAAATCCCAACCCTACAGAGACCCCCCAAATCCCAACCCTACAGAGAACCCCCCAAATCCCAACCCCACAGAGAACCCCCCAAATCCCAGCCCTACAGAGGAACCCCCAAATCCCAGCCCCACCCAGAGAACCCCCCAAATCCCAGCCCCACAGAGACCCCCCAAGAATCCCAGCCCACAGGGGCCCCAATCCCAACCCCTGAGACCCCCAAATCCCAGCCCACAGAGAACCCCCAAATCCCAACCCTACAGGGAGACCCCCAAATCCCAGCCTACAGAGAACCCCCAGTCCCAGCCCTACAGAGAACCCCCAAATCAGAACCCTACAGAGACCCCAAATCCCAGCCCACAGGAGACCCCCCAAATCCCAGCCTACAGAGACCCCCAATCCCAGCCCACAGGGAACCCCCAAATCCCAGCCCATGGGGCCCCAAATCCCAGCCCCAGAGACCCCCAAATCCCAACCCCACAGAGGAGCCCCCAAATCCCAGCCCCACAGAGACCTGCGTCCCAGCCTGAGAGGAACCCCAAGTCCCAGCCCCACAGAGAACCCCCCCCAAATTAACCCCCCAATCCCACAGAGACCCCCAAATTAACCCCAATCCCACAGGGGAGCCACAAATTAACCCCAATCCCAGACAAGCTGAGTTACCCCCCGTCCCAGACACGTTATCCCCCCCTATCCCAGACACGTTAGCGCCCCCGTCGCACACTGTGAACCCCCAAGTCCTGCACGCTGTGACTCCCCCCCCCCTATCTCACGGTTACAGGGAGGGCGTGGCGGTGACAGGGAGCCGGGGGGCGGGGCTATGTGCACCATGTGATCAGACTGGGCCCCGCCCCCCGGTGACAGGCAGCGCGTCGCTCGGATTGCACGTCGGTTTCTCGTGACGTCATTTCCGGTGCGCCGCCGGCTCCCAGCGTGTTCTGCCTGCCCGGGGAGCTCGCACGCGGCAGCTCGCGGTATTCACTAACCCCCCCCGCCCGGGCAGCCCGCGGTCAGTCAGTCAGTCAGGGAGCCGGCATGGCGGTCTCGTTCCGGCAGCGCACCGTCCTGGCCCCCATGGTCCGGGTGGGCTCGCTCCCCATGCGGCTGCTGGCCCTGCAGTACGGCGCCGGCCTGGTGTACAGCGAGGAGCTGGTGGACCTGAAGCTGCTGCAGTGCCAGCGGGTGGAGAACCGGCTGCTGGGGACGGTGGACTTCGTGGCCCCCGCGGACAGGGTGGTGTTCCAGACCTGCCCCCAGGAGCGCGGCCGCGTGGTGTTCCAGATGGGCACGGCGGACCCGGAGCGAGCGCTGGCCGTGGCCCGGCTGGTGGAGCACGACGTGGCGGCCATCGACGTCAACATGGGCTGCCCCAAGGACTACTCCACCAAGGGGGGCATGGGGGCGGCCCTGCTGGCTGACCCGGCCAAGATCGAGCGGATACTGACCGCCCTGGTAACCGGGATATCCAAACCCGTCACCTGCAAGATCCGCATCCTGCCCTCGCTCGAAGAAACCCTCAGCCTGGCCAAAACCATCGAGCGAACCGGCGTAGCCGCCATCGCTGTGCACGGGAGGAAGAAGGAAGAGCGTCCGCAGCACCCCGTCCACTGCGACGTTATTCGAGCCATCGCAGAAGCAGTGTCTATCCCTGTCATCGCCAACGGAGGCTCACAAGAAATTATCAAAGAATTCAGGGACATAGAGACATTCCGGGCTGCTACAGGGGCTTCGTCAGTCATGATTGCGCGAGCAGCAATGTGGAACCCATCCATATTCAGAGAAGAGGGGATATTGCCTCTGGAAGAAGTCGTCCGCGATTACATTAGGATTGTCGTAAACTATGACAACCACTACACTAACACAAAGTATTGCCTGTGTCAAATGTTACGAGAGCAGCTTGAAACTCCGTTGGGAAAGAGACTTCATGCAGCGCAGTCCACACAGGAAATCTGTGACCTTTTTGACATGAGTTCTTTCTACAAAAGTGTAATGGATTCTAAGGAATCCAGAAAAACTGGATTAGACCTTGGTGATTTAAATAATTCTAGTTGTGTGGATAATGACAATGACGATCCCAGCATTACGTGTTTACCTGTTAAATTTGACAAACGAGAGTACCCACCACAGATCACACCCAAAATGTTCCTGCTGGAGTGGTGTAGGAGGGAGAAGTTGCCGCAGCCTGTTTACCAAACTGTGCAACGACCCCTTGATAAGTTTTTCCGTTCCGTTGTCACCGTGGATGAAAAGAAATATCGCTCCACGCTATGGGACAAATCAAAAAAGCTTGCGGAGCAGGCTGCAGCCATTGTGTGTCTCCGTGTTTTGGGATTAAAAGAGGGCAAGCTGGGCGAGCCTGAGAGTGATCTAGTTCGTAAAAGAAAACGTGATTTACTTGGCAAAGTGGAAGATAAATGGAGCCCACCTTTGGAAGCACAAAATAAGAGACCACACCATAATTGTGAAAAGCAGGAGAACTCAGATGGCTTGCATGAACTGTGACAAGCAATGCATTTTCTACAATCATCTAGCTTACCTTGAAAGTTTGATGTGTCTCTTGTCCCCCCTGCCCCCTGTTAATCCTCAGAAGCTAGGATAGAGTGGGGTGGGATTGGGCACAGTAAAGGTGGAGTAGATGTACTAAGTATTTGTTCATGCCATTACCCACTCTCCATTTCACTCGCCAGTGAAACACATTGACTACCAGTTACTTATGGAAAGGCGTATTACTTTAAAAGAACAATCCAAATAAGTCTACTGTTGTTATGCTGTACCCTAGTGATCTGGTGCTGTCAGTGTAATCTGTTAAAGGGACTCTATAGTCACCAGAACTACAGCTTAATGTAATTGTTCTGGTGTCTATAGTCTGTCTCTGTATGCCTTTTAATGTACACGGCAGTGCTTACATTTCTCCTTAGGAATACCTCTAGAGGCTGTCACTCAGATGTCTACTAGATGTGCCTCATGGGTCAGTGCTGCAAGGAGGCGCTGAATAGTCTTCATAGAGATTAATTTATTCAATGCATCTGTATTTGGAGATACTGATTGGTGCAGCAATTTGCAGTGCATGTGCTTTAGCCTCCCAATGCGTGCTTAGGGAAAGCATTGGATTGGCTGAGATCATTAACTTTGATCTGAGCCATTGATGTGGGGCCAGCTGCAGCGAGACCCATGTAGCACTGGAAGAAACATAAATAGACTTACCTTTTACACCTCTGACAGGGGTGCTGTTGTCCTAGATATAGCTATTAGAACTGTGGTGTCAGGAATACACATTTGTTATATTTTCTGTTAAGTCATATTTAGGGGGTTTGACGACTTATATGGGTCCCCAACGCGTCAGTGCACATTTGTAATGTAATCCTGCAGATCCAGATAAATTACACTTGAATGCGCCAGGGCACTCCAGTACAGTATGCTGTAGTGGTTATGGTGCATGGATTGTTCCTTTATATATATTCAGTTATGCGGTTGTTGCTATGATACTCTGTGGTATTTACATGTTTTCACACATCAGGACACATATTCCATGCAAAACACGCATGGATCTACCAAGTTATGGTGTCTGTTTTTTGCCACAATTTTAATTCTGAAACATGGGTGTAGAACGTCCAGTAATATTATTTAGAGAATGCTATGATTTGTGGCTAAGACAAAGATACTCAGCTGTTTCAAAGCTATAACTCCCAAAATGCATTGCCGTCCGTACAGTTTGTAAAGCAACATGGGTGATGTTCTTCAGCAGCTTAGGATCTGCCTGTTGGCTACCCCTGCAATAAGATAACCGAAGCACAAATGCAGGGCAGCTGTAGAGCTTCTCCTCCTTGTGAATGATCAATCCGCTAAGCCAGTCGTGTGCTGTAAAACAAACCGCAGCCGTGTGCTGTAAAACAAACCGCAGCGTATTTTTTTGTTTTTTAAGCTCCCCGGCACCTTTAGTGTGCTGGACAAGCTGAGCCGTTTTGGCAGATTCCTTTCACCGATATTTTGCAGTATGCTGCTCACGGGTTTGACCTACAGAACTTCTGAAATTCCTTTACATTTGTTTTGTTGTGGGTGACCTGCTACTGTTGCAACATTGCACTAACGTAATTTATTTTTTCAAAGTTTGTGCCTTTACATTTTACAAATGTAATTTTACATTTAATACATGGCTTTCAGCTTGTGCCTTTCGCAGTTTTAATTTCACAAATGATATTAAATGTATGTTATTTAATATTTGTGTCTTGTGATTTCCTTTGATTTATAATCCAAGTTTGGCACAGTAAAGGTGAAGAGAATGCAGCACAATTTATATTATGTAGTTTGTTTTTTTATTAATATTTAAAATACTGAAAACTGAAATTCTGTCGCATAAATGCCTTCCTTTAGGGTATTGTGCTTGCAGCTAGGCAAATGGGACGTTGTATTCCGTACCTAAAGCAATTAAAAAATTACAAGATGGGCGATCCTCATACCATAATGCCCTGCACGAATTTGTCAAATCGCTAGCAATTAAAGGGTTAAAATGGCATTAAGCCTTATGGGAAGTGTACAATTTTTTTTTTTTTTTACACTGGTGCATCTTTAACCCCTTAAGGACCAAACTTCTGGAATAAAAGGGAATCATGACATGTCACACATGTCATGTGTCCTTAAGGGGTTAAAGGGACCCTTTAAGCACCATAATCACTATGAACCACTTTTAGTTATAGTGTCAGAAGCTCCTTGGTGCCCTCCTATGCATTACTTGACAAGTTTGCTTATTTTTAATGCAAGCAAACACATTTAAACAAATGTGCAAACCGGTAAGAAGAGATGGCAGCGCCTTGATGTATTTTTTGAGGTAGCGGTGTAGATTATGGTGACAGAAATATAGCAAATTATAGTGTATTATGTCATGGGACAATTAAATCAGAAAAAAATGAATTGCACTCACAGTTGGTAGAGCTAGGGTAGCTCTTTTTAGATGTGCCTGGTTGGTATAATCCCCACCTAAGGATATGTGGTGTCTTCTTATCTTAAAGTGCCGTAGTGGATACAGTAGGTCACGATGATATCAGACCTGCCTTATGGGCCCACTGGCTTGTTGGTAAATAGGTCATTAAAGCACTACAGCACTTTTAGGTAAGTGGGGATTATACCAACCAGGCGCATCTAGATAGAGCTATCACAGCTCTACAAACTGTGAGTGCAATTCCTTTTTGTTGTTTTTAATCGTCACAAGATATCCTAAACTATATTTTCTGTCTCCACATATTTTACTCTTGGAAACACCTCTACTTTAAGAAATACATCAAGGTGCTGCACCCTCTCCTTACCTCTTTGCACATTTTATTGGACCTGTTTGAGAGACTCTGTTTTGAGTGTTGTGGCTGCCTACCTGTTCTAATACATATGCACTAGAGACCAAGCTCACGTATATTCTGGACTTTTAAACAAATATTCAAATCAAAATAAAGCAAGACATATTTTTGAAAAGTATGTACTAAACATGTATAAATGTATTCTTGTAACCCAGGTCTACGAGACTCTATTCTTTCCTGGTTCTCTTCTCTCCGATGTTTCCTTTTCTGGCTCTTCTACTCCTCTGCAACCTATCTCTCTGCCAGTGTTCCCCAAGATTCTGTCCTTGGTCCCCTTCTGTTCTCAATCTATACTGCCTCTCTTTCTTCTCTGGTCTTTTCCTGAACTCTCACCGTCCCTCTTGACTTGTGTCTCTGATTGCCTTTATGCTATTTCTTAATGAATGCCTGCTTACTTCCTTAAACTCAACATGTCCAAAACAGAGCTTCTCGTCTTTTCTCTCTCAAATGTTGATACCCCGTATGTGTCTCCCTTCAAGTCAGTGGCACTATGATCAGCTCTACCTCACACTCCCTAGGTGTTCACTTTCACTCCTACCTCTCCTTTGCCCCTCATGTACAGTCACTCTCCAAATCCTGCTACTTCCATGTCAAAAGCATAGTGCGCACCCACCCATATCTAATACCTGATGTGGCGAAGGTGCTGGTCCAGACTGCTAGGTTCTAGTTCCTTGACTCCTGCAATCCCTTTCTCATTGAGGCTTGTCTTCCTGTTCTTCTGCACTTCCCCTGGTCACTTCTTACAATGGATTCCTGTAATATATAGGGCTCAAATTAAAATTCTGGTACTTGCTTACAAATCTCTATATAATACTGCTCATACCTATCCTCATTCATACACCATGTCCCATTCTGGCCCTTACACTCTTCTGAAGACTTGCGCTATTCCTCTCTCTTTGTACCTCTGACAACCCACCTCCAAGACTTCTCTAGATCTGCACTGTTCCTATGGAACTCCCTTCACTGCTCCATTAGATTCTCACCCAGTTTCCACTACTCCAAAAAACAAGAAAAATCACTTCTTTAAGAAAGTATAAGAATTAAAGGACCACTATAGTGCCCTGAGGGTGCCCCCACCCTCAGGGTCCCCCTCCCGCCGGGCTGGATAGAGAGGAAGGGGTTGAAAAGGGTTAACCCTAGATGGACCAGGCACCCAGACCACCTCATTAAGCTGAAGTGGTCTGGGTGCCTATAGTGGTCCTTTAAGCTTTTAACAGCATTCCCTCCCTACAGTTTGGTAGCCCAACTTGCTTCCTCTCCTTGAAGTTTACTGTGTCATATTGTAGGTCAGAAACTGACTTATCAGATTTTTATTTATTTTTTTTCCTATCCCACGTTTGTGGCTTAATTTAGGTAAATTTGACACTTTAGTGAATTATCATGAGCAACTTTGAAAGGACTAGGAATTTGACTACAAAAAAAATAAAATAAATTGCATTTTTTTCAACTTGTACACAATACAAACATTTGGACAGATAATGAGGAAGCACGATGTTTTTCAATCACAATGTCTCAAGGTTACAGGTTGTGCACCATGCCCATTATACTACTATAACAATACAATTACAATAAGTTGTTATGGTGCTCAGAGGATCCTTTTTAAGGTCTGCTGATAAATCCATGTCTGTAAATTTTGCCCTTCATATTATTGCTTATGGGGGCAGTAAGTAAGGGGTAATATTGGTTAGGACCAGCTGAGAAAAGATGGTGGCAATATCTGTAGTGCGGTAGGGAGTGGACAGAACTTCACAGCTCTTCATTCTGACGAGGAGACGAAGGGGTTTGGATGCTTAGAAATAGTTTAGTCCTGACTCTGTTGGTTTTACAAACTCATTGTATCCCTGGCATGTACGTGGCAGGCTTTAAATGTAACGCTAATGAAAGGGAGAATAGGCAAAATTAATGAATTCTCCTCCATGGCAAGCTTGTAATGATTGTAACATTACATTTCCAAAGCGATGACTCATAGCCCTGCTAGACTGAAAATGTAATCTACGTGGACACTCGGTGACGTCTGTGTCATTTCTAAAAACTAAGTTCTGATGGCTGTTTTGCATCATATCTGCCCTGGAGGTCCCACTTACTAAATTTGCAGTATTAAATAGGAATGTTTTTCTGGTGTGCTGTTTGCAGGTAATTACCGCTGTGTAAGCGTGGTATTTTAAGCAATGAATGTAATAACTTACTGAGATGTATATACAGATATATCTTCCAAAGAACCCAGTCAGTAAAAATAAATCCATTTTATTTACATTACTGTAGTCTGATTTTAGGGGATATTTTTAATGATTTGTTTGTAGCAAGGTGTCAAACCTTGAATCGAAGCCCTAGTGATGGAAGTTCTGTCTACTTCTCACAGTAGTCTCCCAATTTGACGGTATCTTAATAAAGAGATGCTGCTAAATGAAACAACACAGAGCTGCGTTTTCATTTTCATCACTAAAAGGTTCATCTTAGAAGCGTAAAGACCAGGTGCAACTACATTTTAAAAGTCTTGTATCATGGGAAAGAAAGATTGTGGGGTGCTCTTTGTGATGCATCGATAAATCCTCAGATGGGTTGCCTAGTAAGTTCTAAACCAAGAGCTGATTCACTAGATAAAATGGCAAGTTAGTTCTGAGACCTAGACTTACAAAACACTGAGAGCTTAAACTGACTCCCTATCACTAAGGTGGGTAATGTGATAGCATTTACATTCCCCAAATAAATTGTAATAGTATTCAAAGGTTTCCTGACAGTGCTTTCATCATGCCGGTATGCTTCTTACATGTGAGACTTCTGAGACAGTAGGAGAGGCAGTTGGTGGTAGTTATAGTAATAGTGATAACTGGCTTTACTGTGGCTACTTGATTGAAAATATTACTGGCTCACTAGTCTAGCGAGGTAAAGAGAGAGCTGGTAAAATGTGAAGTGTGATGTAGCTCGGGCCCTGATTATTTGCTTCCTACTGTCTGCCCTTTAGAGAAGCCAATTCTGGAGGCATACCAACAGTCCAGTATTAAGGCACATACCCGGACCATTCCTCTGGAGATTCGGACAATAACTGGTATGGTATGTGTTGGGAATAACTGCTCTAGAAACTCTGGACCATGATTGGGCCGATCTCTCCTTCGTGGTATCAGGCAAGGGCAGTAAGGGTTCTTTATCTAGTTTATTGTTAAAGGCACACTATAGGCACCCAGTCCACTTCAGCTCATAGAAGTGTTCTGTGTGTATATTCCCAGGAATAGGAACAGGCAAAGGCCTGATAAGGAGAGATTGATAGGCAGAGAAATAAAATATACTGAAATAAATCCTGTGTATGTGAATCTCAATATTGAATTTAATGGTGTCTATTGCAGAGTAAGAACAGTTCCCTTTAACCATAGCTGTGATCCTAGGCCAAGTAGCTGCCCACACTGGTTTACAAGTGTTCCTATTTAGGAGGAAAAGTCTCATGTTTGGGCCCATTCGCTCTTCTTTTCTATCCCAATGTTTCTCTTTTCTAGGAGCTCTGTATTGTTGGTGTGTCTGAGTGTATAACAGAGCTCCACAGCAATAATACTCCCAGTAATGTGTCTGAGTGTATAACAGAGCTCCACAGTAATAATACTCCCAGTAATGTGTCTGAGTGTATAACAGAGCTCCACGGCAATAAAACTTCCCAGTAATGTGTGAGTGTATAACAGAGCTCCACAGTAATAATACTCCCAGTAATGTGTCTGAGTGTATAACAGAGCCCCACATCAATAATACTCCCAGTAATGTGTCTGAGTGTATAACAGAGCTCCACAGCAATAATACTCCCAGTAATGTGTCTGAGTGTATAACAGAGCTCCACAGCAATAATACTCCCAGTAATGTGTGTTTAAACTACAATAAATGTGTTTAGAAATCAATCTGTGTAAATAAGATACATTGTTCTTCTAAATTACATTTTAGTTCTATAAATTGCTATTAGTAAGTCACTGAAAATTTCTCAAAACACCCCCACTCACGCTCTTGAAATTAGTGTCTCTCTGTCCATTTGAAATGTTGGGCGGTATATAGTGAGAACTAGCCTGTATTCTATTGGCTTGTGGCAGGATTCTGGGTCAGAAGATACCTTTTAGTCAGTGCTGCAAAATGATTGGGTGTAAGAGGATTCAGGGGGGAGCAAAACATACAT